AGCCCATCAAAGTGAACACATTGGGACCTTTCAGAGAGGTAGTTCACAAACCACCCCACTGCATGGCTGGATAAGCCAATACTGAGTAGCCTCTGCTTTAAGATGTGATGATCGACGGTATCAAACGCTTGGAAAGGTCAATAAATAGAGCTGCACAACTCTGCTTTTTATCTAAAATACTTGTAATGTCATTCACCACTTTCATTGTGGCAGTGATGGTGCTATGTTGCTTTCTGAAGCCTGACTGATGTTTAGACAGGATGTCATTTGTACATAAAAACTCCTTTACCTGTTCACTCACTAGGCGTTCAAGAACCTTAGCCAGAACTGACAATTTCGAGATTGGCCTATAGTTATTTAAAACAGTTGCCTCCCCTCCTTTTAGTAGTGGCAGGGACATACGCTGACTTCCATACTTAGGAATTGCATTTGTGCTGAGGGAGAGGTTAAAAAGAGTAGTGAGAGGTGGAGCAATAAAATCTGCAGCTATCTTTAAAAAGAAAGGTTCTACGTTGTCCGGGCCAGCCGGTTTCTTAGGATCTAACTTAGATAATGCTTCATGAACAACATTTACAGTAAAGGAGTAAAACTGAAAGGGTTTTCCAGACCACATTGTTCAGAGTCACCGACTGTGGTGTTCACAGAAGCAGAGTTAGTCACAGAATCAAACATAGAACCGCAGGACACAAAATGCTCATTAAAACAATTTAACATAGTAGCCCTGTCCGATATAGAGCCAGATGTTGTGGTAATGCACGGAGGTAGCTCATTTCGGATCTCACCGGTGGATAGCGATTTATGGCTTTCCAAATTTCCTAGGATTATTTAGGTTTTCTGTAGTAACTGACAAATAGTACTTCGACTTAGCACTTTTGACATGTGAAGTGAAGCTATTTCTTAGCTGCCTAAAACGCAGCCATTCTACCTCTGAGCCTGATTTCCTAGCCTTTGCCCAGGCCTTGTTTCTCTCATGTAGGAGACTGGACAGTTCAGCAGAAAACCAAGGATTGTCTCGTCCCTTTACTCTAAAAGTACGTAGGGGTGCATTTATCTATAATTTCCATAAAACCAAGATAAAAATAAGACCATGCGGTGTGTTTTGCACAGTGATATCTCTGGAACCCCCTTATCCATTTTGATGGTTGACATCTCATTTGAACAGTCAAAGCAAGTAGAATCAATGGGTGGCAGACATAATGACACCAGGGGTGAATTTCATGTTATCATTTTGCAGTAAGTTCAAACATAGTGCTTACTGTACATTACTGTATATTATAAAAATGCTTGCCATGTAGGCTGTGTTTACTGGAGATGGAAATGCTTCAGTTGGTGTTGTAGCTGAGATTTTCCCGTTCCAATGATGTATGGGATGTATTGATTTGATACAAGCAAGTCAGTGTTTCATTGTGTACTTTCAACTAGAGTATATGGTCCGGACCCACCAGTGGGCCCATCAAGTTCAGCGTTCACTGCATTCACTGTGATGAATATAAAATAAGACACTGATACTGTTTTCCTCAATGAACATTTAGAGACAAATAAATATTCAGGGCTCCTCTCTCTCAGGGGCCTCTCCCTCAGGGGCCTCTCCCTCAGGGGCCTCTTCCTCAGGGGCCTCTCCCTCAGGGGCCTCTCCCTCAGGGCCTCTCCCTCAGGGCCTCTCCCTCAGGGGCCTCTCCCTCAGGGGCCTCTCCCTCAGGGGCCTCTCCTCTGGCCTCTCCTCAGGGGCCTCTCCCTCAGGGGCCTCTCCCTCAGGGGCCTCTCCCTCAGGGGCCTCTTCCTGGTCTGTTGACTGTTGGTCAGGCTCATAATCTGGATCGCTGTTGTCTTCCATTTCTGAGACATCGTCCTCTATGTCTGGTTCAATCTCCTCTTCATCTGGTTCAAAACATCAGTAATGGAGGGGCATTTACTGCAAGAAAGTGAGAGGTTTTTCTTTCTCGAGGGGCACAGAGCTCGCACCTGTGAGAAGGTGAGAGGTTCCCGTAACTTAGAGTAAATTGTTTTGTCTGGAAGGTGATGGGGGGACATAAGCACAAGAAGTGTGTGTGTGTGTGTGTGTGTGTGTGTGTGTGTGTGTGTGTGTGTGTGTGTGTGTGTGTGTGTGTTTACATTTTGTTTCTTTCTTTCTCTTTTTCAGGCCAAACCAGTGAAGCGAGGCTCGGCCAACGTGTCGTTCGCGGATCTGTCAAAGATCGGCCAGCCGCCCAACACCAACAAGTCCTAGAAGCATCTGAGCTAATTAACAACTGCAGAGTGTAAGTAATATATTTTATAACATTACAAATATAGCAATATTTACATCGAATATGGTTGAAATATACAGTATGTATACCCGTAGAAATAAAATAGGAATAATACAGTATATCAATAGAGTATCTAAGGAATGCAGTGGGGTAGTGTGAGTACAATATGTGCACATTGTACATATGTGCTACATGGTTAAGCTGTACTGAAAAAACATGTATACAGTATAATAATATTCAATGGTTAGACTAACTGTAGATCTCTCCTGTCAGATAACGTCAGCTCAGTGAGGTAAAGGACTCTCTCAGTGTTTAGATAGTTAACTTTTAGTTAGTTATCTCAGTGGGTCTCAAAACAGTTTGATCACCATTTAAGTAAACAAGTATTTCGAGGCATATGATCATGTTAAGTTAATAGACATACAATACAAGTCTCTGCCTCACATGATCCCAGGTACACAAGTGCAGTCGCTTTCATTAATAATAACAATAATATACACGTCTAATAATAAAAAGCAATAAAAGCACAATTTCAAAAAGCGTAGGAACTGGAAAGCAGTTAGAATTAAAAGCAAATTAATCCTCTTGAAATAGAACATGTCAAATATGAACATTAATCCTTTCAATTGGCCTATGCATACAAATATGGTACGCTTCAAAATTGTCCTACGTGTTATTCCAGGTTGCAGATAAGCATTTCCCAAGCTCAGATGACAAGCTGTCCCTTATCACCGAGCAGAGGAACGCGATCCTGGCTGCCTGGAATGCAGTGGAGGACCACGACAAACAGCAGCAGAAGTTCAACCAGCTGTACAGAACGCACTGGGGCAACACCCTGTACTGCCGCACTAAACGGCACAACCTTGTCGATGCTGCTGTGATACAGCGCGTGAAGATGGGCATTCGCTACGCACCAGCACAACAGGACATTAGTGCAATGAACAACAGGCTTATGTACACGCTGGTGAAACTGCTGTGGTTGAAGTCACCACAGGGTTCTCACACTAGCCCTGAGAAGACCACTATCTTGAAGGCGTATGAGAGGATCCAGCACCGGGTTTTGGAGTAGGAGCCAAAGTGTCCGGGTTCAAAAGCTGCCGTCGTGCACGTGCTGTGGCCAAAGTCTTCTGCCCTGTGAAGAGGATGTCTCCATCAAAGGGTCTGGAGAACACAGTCTACAACAGTTACCAACATTTTACAGCTGTTGTTGACGAGTTGGAGCAATGGCCTGTTGCTATGTAAATATTGTAAATAGTCATTTAAATGTTTTTCAACTTGCTGTGTTATCATTTTTATTTTTCATGTTGAGTTTTATATTTATTATATTGTAAATATATGTACATTACATTACATGTTACTTGTTATCCAAAGCGACTTACATACTCAATACTGTGGGCAATCCCCACAGGAGCAATTTGGGGTGAAGTTTATTTTCATGTCGACTTTTATATTTGATGTATATTGTAAATAGTTTTCATTCATATGTACGTCATTAATGTAAAAAGTGTAAATACTTGTATGTACATTACATTACATGTTACTTGTTAGACGCTTTCATCCAAAGCGACTTACATACTCAATACTGTGGGGTGAAGTGTCTTGCCCAGGGACACAACGACATGCTGACTGCAGTGGGGTTTGAACCTGTGCTCCCCTGATCCCAACACCAACGCACTGCGCCACAGCCTCCCTGTACATAATTGTACATCTGATTTGTATCCACTTGAGCTTTTTTACCTGTGTTTATGTTGTTGCTGTTGCCATCCTTTATACTGAATCAATGAAGGTGAATGGTTGCTCAGAAAAAGTCCTAAAGAATCCAACTGGGTTCAATAGCTGGATCATTCCTGTTCTTCTTCTGCAGTGGAGTGAGATCTCGTTGTTGTTGTTGTTGACTTGCATAACAACAAATGTTAGTTTACAAGAAGTCATTGATACCCTAACATTTGATTCATACCTGCTGATGACAAATAAATCCTGGGATCTACAAAAGTGAATGTGTTTCATGCATCTGATTTGTATCCACTTGAGCTTTTTTACCTGTGTTTACCTTAGTTTATGCTGTTGCCATCATTTATACTGAATCAATTAAATATTTTGCCAGAAAGGTCAAACTTTAGGAATACAGAGCAGTTCTTATCATGCCATAACCATAGCCATGGAGGCAGTGCAAATTAAAATATAATATTGGTGACAAAAAACACACAGAGCCATCAGTGCAATTGTTACATTCTAATTTCTCTGATATTGTAGGCGTTAATTATCTATTTATTATATGTAAATACTTTTATGTACATAATTGTATTTATAATTGTACAGAATTTAACTGTAACACTATGGTGTTTTCAATTGAATGCACTTTATACAATAAAGTGGTCAGTGCTACAGTAACAGTGAGTCGTGAAATATGAATTATTAAATGCAATAATGGGGATTAATTTGTTTATCTAAATATAGGGACAAAGGTAGAGTGCCAAATTACTTGCACAGTACACAATGTTCAGATGACTTTGCCCAAAAGCAAACATTTAAGTTGCTTGAGTCAGACTCAGAAATATTAAACCACTTTTAAAATCAGACTCTCAAGTCATAAGGAAATCCATAAAGATATCTCACTGAAGAAAAGACACATTTGAATGAAATAAGCTTTATTTGAATGAGACTTCAATTCAGAAAGACTCTTAAAATATAACTACAGCTCTCAGGACATCAGGAGGAGGAAACAGCTAGCTTGGCTCTCATAGTATTCCCACACTCTTAAAACCACTATGGTTTTTCTCCTTTGTGAACACGAAGATGTATTTTGAGAGCATCTGATCTAGTGAACGTTTTCCCACACTCTTCACACCAGTACGGTTTTTCTCCAGAATGAATACGGTGATGTGTTGTGAGATGACTTGATGTAGTGAACGTTTTCCCACACTCTTCACACCAGTACGGTTTTTCTCCAGAATGAATACGGTGATGTGTTGTGAGATGACTTGATCTAGTGAACGTTTTCCCACACTCTTCACACCAGTACGGTTTTTCTCCAGTATGAATACGTTGATGTATTTTGAGATCACCTGATCTAGTGAAAGTTGTCCCACACTCTTCACAGCTGTACGGTTTTTCTCCCGTGTGAATACGTTGATGTATTTTGAGAGTACCTGATGTAGTGAAAGTTGTCCCACACTCTTCACAGCTGTACGGTTTTTCTCCCGTGTGAATACGTTGATGTATTTTGAGATGACCTGATGTAGTGAAAGTTGTCCCACACTCTTCACAGCTGTACGGTTTTTCTCCCGTGTGAATACGTTGATGTATTTTGAGATGACCTGATGTAGTGAAAGTTGTCCCACACTCTTCACAGCTGTACGGTTTTTCTCCAGTGTGAATACGTTGATGTATTTTGAGAGCATCTGATCTAGTGAAAGTTGTCCCACACTCTTCACAGCTGTACGGTTTTTCTCCCGTGTGAATACGTTGATGTATTTTGAGAGCACCTGATCTAGTGAAAGTTGTCCCACACTCTTCACAGCTGTACGTTTTTTCTCCAGTATGAATATGCAGGTGGCGCTTTAAATCTCCAGATGTTCTAAACGATTTGTCACATTTCTGACAGCTGTGACGTCTCTCTCTTCCTTTCGGTTTCTAGAACAGACGGACAGAGAAAGAGAGAAAGTGAATCTAAAAAGCATGAATACACAAGTTAACACAATAAAAACTCACTTAGTATAAACCTTGAGTTAACAAAATACTACTTATCAACTGTTTGGGTTATATTTGATACAGCAACATTCTAACCACAGTATATACCAGAGGTGGGGGACTCGAGTCACATGACTTGAGTCGCATATTTTTTGACTTGAGACTTGCTTGACTAACATTGATAAAAAGACTCGACTTGTGTAGGGGTGTAGAGTTATTTGTTCAAGCACCGGATCGGCAAAACAGGAGAGTCTGTGAACCAGTCTGCCTTGACCTATGTATTCATGTCTGACTCTCACAGTATCTGCTGCCCGCCAACACACACACACACACACACACACACACACACACACACACACACACACACACACACACACACACACACACACACACACACACACACACACACACACACACACACACACACCACACACACACACACACACACACACACACACACACACACACACACACACACACACACACACACACACACACACACACACACACACACACACACACACACACACACACACACACACACACACACACACACACACACACACACACACACACACACACACACACACACACACACACACACACACTTTCAGAGCCCCACTCTCCATTGTTGTTAATGTGGGAAATAAAACTCTAGTTTTCATAACCACTGGCTTTTAACTGATTTAAACTCTCGATCTTCTCTCGAATTATTTATTTTTTCGGACGCCCTCTGCTCGAGTTCAGGGCGTTCCGAGCTGAATAATTGCGTCAAATGACGGCAAAACGCCCCCCCCCCTGGCGGAAACGCTTACTACAATCTACAATGCCTGAATCTCTCTTTGAAGTACCCGGATTTGATCTGTGGTGCCGATCATACTCCGAAAAGAATCAGACTCCTTTGCATACAGACTTATGCCGCAGTTCCACTACAGCGCGGAGCTCGCTTTAAGCGTGCCGTGTCGTGCCGTACCCGTTTTTGGTTGCGCTTCCACTAGGCCTAGTTACGGCCCGGCCCGGCCCGGCCCGGGGCCACTTTTTCACCTCTTTTCTGGCCCGACAAAATTGTGGTTCTATCGGGGCCAACAAACAGGGCTGAGTCGGGCTGAGTATGCTAAACTAGAGAGAGGAGCGCTGGCAAGAGGGCTAGAACTACAACAAGATGGACATATTTGACCGTGATTTAATTGTAATACACGTTTCAAAATGATGCCGAAGTAACAACATACTGATACCGGTTAGTAAAAACCATGAATTAATGCTTTGTCAAGTCTGCAGACAGACGGCAGGCGAAAAACCTTTTAAAATGCGTGTTTTTCTAGATGGAGATTGGCTAAGCCAGGGGTTTTCAAAGTCTGGGAAGGTGAGCCTCCCCTCAGAGAACATGAGAACAGCCGCGCCCCCCCTCCCAATTATTATTGCTATCATTATTATTATTATTATTGTTGTTGTTGCTATAATGCAGGGGTATTCAATTGCATTTCAAAGAGGTCCAATAAGAGCAAATGTCATTAAATGCTCTGTTTTCGCTGTCTACCTTTCTCTTTTTTGAGCACGCCATTTGAAGTTACTCCAACTGTTTCTCTCTTCTTGTCTCGTCTCTGTGTGTTTGAATCTATCGTGCTGACTCACTGACTGCACCGATTTGAATGGCTGAGTAGCGTCACCTCCTAAAAACATTAAAAAATAACTTTTTAAAACCTTTTTATCTTTATGTTTTAAATATGTGTTTTAAACATTTTTTACATTTTCAACATCGTGGATGAATCCTTATATGCTCCCGGCAACACACTGAACATCAACTTTGCCTCCTTATTACACTCACCCCTACTTTAGTGCTGGGAACAATGAGTCTGCGTCTTTGATGCGCACATGCGGGTGATGCGGGGATCAGAGTCCTGCGGGGATCAGAGTCCTGCGGGGATCAGAGTCCTGCATTGGGTCGGTACCCGACGGGTGACCCGCAAAAAAAGTGATTCGCGGGTGGTAAGTTTCCTCAGACCTCTCCCCGCGGGACCGCGCATAATCATAACCTCTGCACCGCATCAATCTGCTGCTGAGCGCGCCACATTCGAAATGGCTGAGGTGAAGCTCTAGCGGAGAATACAGCATTGTAAATAACTCTTCCTCAAGAGCGAAATCCAACGTCTGGGAGGCTTTTGGTGTCATGGAGAAAATAACCAACATCCCACGCTTTTTGAGCCAAATACGCAACTGCGTGTGTTAATAATTGCATGTTTTCAGTGCTCCTAGGATATGCGGGTTCGGGTCGGTTTGCGGATCTTGTGTCGACGGGTCGGGTCGGTTTGCGGAACTAATTGGCAATATGTGCGGGTGGCGGGGCGGGTTCGGTATTGCACGTTGCAGGTGCGGGGCGTGAGCGGGTCTTGAAAATCAGACCCGTGCAGGACTCTGGCGGGGATGCAATGTAGACAGGAATAAACGCAGATCATCCTCTGGCTGCAGCCTTGACCGGTACTTGCTTTTGATCAAAGTCAATGCGGGAAACCCGCACTCACACCGGTAGGTGGAGGTGAAGGGTATGAGCACTTTTACAACCTTTTTGGCGAGGTGGGGGAAGTCGGTCTCCACAGACAGCCAAAAGTGTGCAAGTGACACTTTACTCATCTTGTTCTCGTTACTTTTTTTTCTCATGCTGCGCCTCCCCTGAAGCTCTCTGGCGCCCCCCCCAGGGAGGCGCGCCTCACACTTTGAAAACCGCTGGGCTAAGCTAACGCAGTATATGCTCTGACCTTCCACACTCACAACAACGGCCTATACAGACATAAATAAAGCAGCGACTGTATTCACCATGACACAGGCAGTCTGTGGTTTGTACTTGTTTCACTTTTGTCGAGTTTCTGAACATATATAAGGAGCTGTGAGCTCTGAGTGCTAACAGCTAACGGCTGTGTTGTGTTTCTCGAGTTCTCATTGAAGATGACGTCACGGCTCCGCCTACACTGCGTTACTATAGTAACTACCCCAGTTCCTAAACTGTAATGGAAGCGCAGCATGAAGTGAGTCGGCCCTGTTAAGGCCCAACGCGGCCAAGCCGTACCGAGCTGTACCGAGTGTGGCCGAGGCCGACCGTGTAGTGGAAATGCGCCATAAGTGCTCACAGCCTGGCCATAGAAACAGGTACAGAGACAGAGAGACAGACAGGTGAGAGACAGAGGGAGACAGGTGAGAGACAGAGAGAGAGAGAGAGACTGAGGGAGACAGGTGAGAGACAGAGAGAGAGAGAGACTGAGGGAGACAGGTGAGAGACAGAGAGAGAGAGAGAGAGAGAGGGACAGAGAGAGGAGAGAGAGAGAGAGAGACAGAGAGAGGAGAGAGGAGAGAGAGAGACACAGCCTGGCCATAGAAACAGGCAGGTACAAGAAAACATGGCTGCCAAAAGAGGAGCGATCATGCCAACAGTGAGGAGGAACTGCTGTGGAGACAGAGCAGCACTTCCTCACACAATGCCCAACTTTTGAAGCTATACGGAAACAAATCTTCCCAAAACTCAACCATAAGCATCCTCAAATATTTAAAAATGAAAATGAAAAACAAAAAATACTCCTGGGGGAATATAAAGAGAGCTGCATTGTTGCAGGACAGTTTGTCTCTGCCTGCCACAGTTTCAGGGAATTGGACTGACCTGATACACCAGCTCTCACATCTTATATATCTTATGTATATATATCATATTTTATTTTGTATTAATGTATTATATGAATTAAATAAATCTGTATTCCTTGTAAAAAAGAAAAAAAACATGTTCTTAGAAGTTTGTTTATAACTCAGGGTTCTTACACCTTTTCCAAAGTCAAATCCAAGCACTTTTCAAGCTTTTCAAGCATCTTACAGCTGCTGTAAATTACATATTTATATACTCATACCAGAGTTCCCGTTAGCCGGTAATTACCGGACTATGACCGGTAAAATATGCTGAAGACCGGCAAATCTAAATCTCTCCGGTCAAAATGTCCGGTCAAAATAATTTCCCCTTTAGCGCAATACCGCTTCAGTTGCGCCACTTATGTGACAGACAAGAAGAGTATGTGACAGACAAGAATAGTAAATTCTAATGTCTAACACTTAATGTGGAGAAAGAGATGTCCTGTATGGTTTGATTGTGCGTTGATCTGTTGGTAATGCCTCGGGGTTCCGGTGGGCATGTAAACAAATTCATAATGCTGCTGCGCTATACTTTGTGGCCTCACCCGGTTGCATAGCGACTCTTATTGTTTAGGTGTCTTTTAATAAGCAGGTAGTCATATCATTAGCTAGAACTAGCTAGATCTGATCGATATGGACATAAACGTGAGTGAAGTCTAATCTGACGGGAGAGAGAGATCAGCTGCAGCGGTGAGCGGAGCAAAGCACACACTTCAGGTTAGAATATCACACGTAGCTATTTTAATTACCTCTCAAACTACCTAAACTAGTTATAGATATGTTTAGTTTTACTGTCGGGTCACTCATTACTGATCCGCGAGCTGCATGATACTGGCGGGCTGTCAGGAGAGGGAGAGAGCGCTCCGTTTATTATTCCCGTGTTATTGTAAATTACTGTACACTTTTGAATAATGTAGTTAATCTACTATAATTAGTTTGTTTAATATTGAATCATATCAATTTGTGTTAAAGCTCAATAAATAACCTTTGACCGGCACTTTTCTACTTTTGTCCAGAAGATTTCAACTTTAACGGACATTTTGACCGGCGAAAAAATATTCTAACGGGAACTCTGACTCATACTCAAATTATTATTTCCCTACCTCACATTAAATCAGATGTTCTTTAT